TTAGAAACAGGACAGGTAAATTGAAGATCAAATTACATACTTTCAATTATTATCATTTATTAAATGATTTTTTTTATGAATATCAGAAAAGCCCGATGCCCTAAAAGACATGACAAACCTTTTCGAAGTTTGTCAGTGGCTAGTTCTAGAAAGGCCGGATATATTAGTAACAGCTAATCAAATGCGCAATGCCATGCAAACGTCTTTAGATTCATCTACTGTTATGATATCTCAGTCCGAAGTAACAATAGCATCAAGGAATATTACTGATGATAAAGTACTGTATTTTTTCATTAATTTTTTTTTCAAGTAACTTAAAATTAAACTTCGTAAATTTATCATTATAAGGTCTTGCTCGGCTCTGGTATGAAGAAATAAAATATCTTTTTCTTAGATGTAGAGACCCCCCAGTCAGAGCCATTGAAAGCCTTATTACCAAAATATTCAAATACGAGCTCTATAGTAATGAAGCTGCAGAAATTATTTGTTATTTGAAGTGAATGTATACAGATTTTCGTAGCAAATTCAACCAAAGAATAGCCACATTAGTAGTTGAGTTTAAGAAAAGACACTCAGGAGAACAAATATCAATACCATCGAGATCTGACATCAACAAATTTATTACTCAAGAAGTTGTTGAGCAAATATTAAAAAGGTATTTGAGTGGCACTAATATGGATAAACTAACGAGGTGTGGAACTATGGACCAGCTTACTAAATTAATCAAAAAGGCGTTTAAAATATTTTTTACCACTTACAATACTAAAGCAGTGAAAAGGCTCGACTATATTACGATAGGATGCAAAGTTCCGAGTAGATCTGGCAAAAACATAGCATCGGGGATTTCTCTTACAAATAGTAGAAATAATAATCACCTAGAAAGTGCTTAATATTTTCTTACAATACTTAGCATTTACATTTATTTATTATGCATAAAATATTAGAGCTTGAATAATGATTAATTATATGCGTTGTTATATAGTTACAATAGTTATAATATATGAGATATATGATATGCAATGAAGGTTATGTATAACAATAGTATACTTTAATTAAATAATGGTTTCCGATTATTAAGTATAATCAGGAATGTGAATATACATAGTCTTATCAAAAATCTTATTGTCTAATTGTCTAATCTATTATGTCTAATGTCTGTATTTAATTGTTTATTTAGTACTTATTTTTAGCCAGATTATAATATCTAAAATTAATTAATCAGATTACTTAAACAATATAGGCTGAGTAATATAGAAAAGGGGGACATCAATAACTTCGAAAAATTAATTTTTATGTTATAAATTTTATAATAAATCATAAGAATTACAAATTTTAAAGAGCTGCACTGCAAAATTTATTAATGCAACTACTTTTGGTTTAAGTAAAAAATGATCTTGATCTTATTTTAAATTAATTTATATAAAAAAATTAATTTTAATAAATTTGTCAATTTCCCCCTTTCTATAGCACCTAGCCTATATGGTTTGATTGGACATTATTAGACAATTAGACTGTTTACTGAGTCTATTAGCCTATCTAGTGTTTATTTATAACTATAGCACTTAGTTAAAATATGCATTTTATATAATTGATTAGATTGTATAGTACTATTGTTGAAATTCAAATCCGCAAGACTAAAAATGTGTGACAGGTTACGACTTAATTAATTAATACCAATACCGACACATATTAGACATTAAGTTTAGGTTAGCCTGGAATAGAGTTAACTTAGATCCAGATTTAAACAATTATATCCAGATTTAATTGTTAAATCCAGATTTTATTGTCACGACATGTTTGAAACAGATTTGTGAGTGGATAGCGATAGAGGTAATGTGTCTGCATATTTAAATTCTGATCTTACACTTATATCTGAATCTAATAACTAAATCTGAATATAATTATTACAGCTGCTATTATTATTCCTGGGTACCTTGTGAAAATTAACAGAATGTTTATTCTGCTAATTTGATAAGTCATTGATTTCGGTATGATCAATATAATGTTTTATTATTTACAAAGATGGTCTAAAGCTAGGTATATACATATGTACGTAGATGCTAATCTATTTGTAAGGCTTTAAATGACCTCTATTTATAGTGCATCAGTGATAATTATTAATCGATAATACCATCAATATAACTCTAGTTAAGTATTATACTTTAGAAGCATATTCACTAGAAAGTAATTTGAAAAAAATTTAGAAGAGTTATAAATTTGAACAATAGCTAAACACTTTGGCATTAGTAGATCTTTAATAAATCAAGTTTTCAACCAATTTCAAAGATATGGATGCGTTGAAAGACTTCCACCACTTGTAAGAAAATCATGTCTATTAAACCTGAATCGTGTATGAGTTACAATTTGAAATGGAACTTTAGTTAGAACGTGAAAGCAGAGATTGTTTGAAGCCTTGTAATTTTACATGAATTTAGTTTACAAATTGATTAGCAGCTTTGTATATACTAAGCTTTAGACTATCTTCATAAATAATATATATTACATTGATCATGCCGAAATCAATAATTTATTGAACCAGCATTCGGTTAATTTTTCATGAGGCGTCTTAGGAATAATGATATCAGCTGTAAATCCAGATATAAATAATTAAATCTGGATCCAAGTATTATCTCTAGCCTGAAAAAAGTTAAAGGATTTTGATAAACTTTATACTAAATTATGGGTAGAATTGTTTTTAAGAGCAGTTTCACAGGCAAAATTTTGAAGTAGAAATTATTTTGATCAACCTGTTACACATTTTGGCATTGTTAAATCACACCAGTAAGGCTTTAACACCACAATTGCTATTTCTTCAAAACTGTCTAAATAGCCAAAGCCGGATGTATTAAATAAAAAAAATCATTTAATAAATGATAATAATTGAAAGTATGTAATTTGATCTTCAATTTACCTGTCCTGTTTCTAAGAGATTGACTAGCCTCATTACTGCCTTCATCTTCATTATCATCATTTTTTTGCTATTTCTTGGCCTTCGACAGTTTTTCATAATTTCTTTAATAATAATCTAAATGATTTTATAATTAAGTAGTAGAACAATAGGGTTATTATAGATTAATATTGAAGATAAAAAGCATATCAACACCATCATTACTGTTGTCACTATCAGACATTTGAAGCAAATCTGAAACCGTCACTCTACTTTCCAATCGGTAACTACTTTCACTTCGACTATTAATAGGTGATCCCACAGTCATGATGTTGGGATATTCAGAATCTGCTATACTTTCATAAGTTGGTATGATTGGTGTTGCAAATCTTTCTAATTATTGGAAGAATTAAGATCAAAGATAAATTTAATGGTTATTTTTTTATTTATTATAGCTTTTTAATTGCAAACAAAATGAAATAATTCAATAACCTAGGGCCCTTAATACTGTTAAGTTACGACTTGAGTGACTTGTAGTTTTTGAAGCTGTTAGAATAATATTTGATACACTTAAGTCGTTTGTATAGGAAATTTGTTAAAAACCTTGAAATTAATTATTTTTCTTTACTGATATCCAATTCATAATTTGAGTCTGAATTATTGGGCTCAATATTTTGAGTAGAAGGTTCGGCACTTGTCTCGTGTTCTTCATCACGTTGACCTTCATCACGACTTGTCTTTCTTCCAGGGTTCCCTCTACCACGGTTTCCTCTTCCACAATTCACTCTTCCGCGATTCCCGCTTCCATGACTTCCTCTTCCACGTCCTCCTAATTAAATACAGTAAGATTTTTTTAATATGAAGCAAACTCTAACTTTTATATTATAACCAACAAGTTTTAGCTATTGTTCAAATTTATAACTCTTCTAAATTTTTTTCAAATTACTTTCTAGTGAATATGCTTCTAAAGTATA